GTCACTTAATATTCGTTCGTTAAACCATCATGATATGGAGGATGGAGACAATAGACACGAAGGTATTGTTTTAGGATTAAACTAAAGGTTTAATAGAAGAAAGTCCTATTTATGTTTTTGATGTAAGCGTTGGGTCAACTACATCCCTGCATGGCACTGTTTAATGAATTCGTGGCACGGTTCAGAATGTACACATGCAATTGACTTTGTTATAGAATTTTCAGATGCATGAAAATTACGAAATGTGCTGTATCATTTAGCTAGTCACCTCCGCATATAGACTCTGACTTTTCCTTCTTCATAATTTAGAACCCTTGCATCACCAACGAGTCCTGGAGGGATGAAACAGCTGTATTATGCGGTTTAAAATCATTGTTAGGCTATAATGTATATGTAATATCTTGTTTGCTACCCACGTTCCTGCGCCTCCAGATACTTAGTCTTACTAATGTTAGTACCGCTTACAGGCCCTTTTGACCTTTTGGTTGGACATTTTTTTTCCCAATATGTCCCTCTTTCTGACACACATAATACTGCGCATGCAGAAACTTACAGTCTGCTGGTGTATGTTTTTCACCACAGCGAAAACACCTTTTACCTGAGTCACTGTTTGTTCCCTCTGCCTTGTCCGAGTGTGATCTTTCACTACCCCAGTACTTTGATTTACGAGGCTTGTACTTCTGACCTTTGTTCACAACATTGACTGAACCAATGGCCGGCTGCGACATTACCTCAGTGTTCTTTGTCGCCATCTCCATGCCTAACGCGATTTCATTAGCCCTGGCTAGGTCCAAGTCTTTCTCGGCCAACAGTTTCTTTTGTATGACCTCACTCCGTAATCCGCATACTAGTCTGTCCCGCAAGGCCTGATTAAGGAAGTCCCCGAACTCACAATACTTCTTCAGGCTGACTACATAATCCGAAACTGATTCCCCCTCCCTCTGTTTACGATTGTGAAATTTAAACCGTTCTCCTATCACGAGTGGTTTGGGGGAGTAATGTCTAGTTAGTGCTGCCTTCAACTCCTTATACGATTTGGTACTGGGCAGTTCTGGGGTGAGAATGTTCCTAAGCAAAGCATATGTTTGCGGACCTACTACCGCTAGAAACACAGGGACCCGTTTAACGTCAACTGTATCAACTGTTCAAGTCTCTCAACGTAACAACTGAAATCCTCTTTGCCCTCTGCGAACTCGCCGATACGGCCTATTTTCGCCATGGTGCTTTCGTTCAAAACACAGAGTCGATCTTACCACAAGTTCCTTGCCTCGTCGCCACTGTAATATCTTGTTTGCTACCCACGTGGAACAATCAACTCATAAGAAATGGCGTCCAGGTGATACAACTACTTTTATTAACCTCCACGACAGAAGAGCTAACGCTCAGGGTTATACTAAATAGCCTACAGTAACACGTACCGGATTGATCCATATATCACAGCATATATCTCGAAATCTGTATGAGCGCTATTCATTTGAGTGTTGTGTAAATTTTGAGGCATTTGCCATAAGTGTAAATCTTGATTAATCAAAATTCCTTATACTTTCGTTTTAAAACTATATTTATGGAAGTTCATGTGGAAAAAGTGTTTCTCGGAATCTATATTAAGTCTTCCATCAAATTTACAAGGATTTAAAGAAATCATTGTTGCTTAATTCTTTGGTATGTTATCAGTGGTGTCACTGGTATTGCAATGTCTGACAATACAGCCACACAACACATAACCTCGATGTCCGCTCGGTAATGGAAAAGTAACTAGATTTATCTCCCTTCCGCTTATGGTAAGTTTCAGTTAGTTTTTGTTGTCGGTGCAAAGCAAGCGGGAATAATACATCATCGGTTCTGACAGATGTCTACGTTTTGAGACAAATACCTAAGTTTTTTTTCCACACACTTCAAAATGTATGGACTGATTCGTTGTTTACAAGGTTTAACTGGGAAGCAACTCAAATTTTGGTAAATAACGTATTCAATCAAATCTTTCAATGATTTTCAGAACTGTCTGCAATTACATCATTATATATCAATTTAAATAATTTACAGTAAATGATAGAGAGAGAGAGAGAGAGAGAGAGAGAGAGAGAGAGAGAGAGAGAGAGAGAGAGAGAGAGAGAGAGAGAGAGAGAGAGAGAGAGAGAGAGAGAGAGAGAGAGAGAGAGAGAGAGAGAGAGAGAGAGAGAGAGAGAGAGAGAGAGAGAGAGAGAGAGAGAGAGAGAGACAGAGAGAGACAGAGAGAGAGAGAGCGAGACAGAGAGAGAGAGACAGAGAGAGAGACAAAGAGACAGAGAGAGGGAGAGGTTATCAATGGGGAATGTGGTATTAACCTTGTGAGATGATTCGGAGGAGAATCTGTACACTGTTGATATTCAACGAGGAGACGCCACAAAAAGAAGTTATTAGGTGAAGGTTGAAATCGATCTTGTATTGATTGTTTATATAAGACAAAAGTCGTTGGTAGTATGATACAACTTTTATTAAATAAAATTTCGGAGAGAAATTGTAATTGTTTTCCTTCTACAGGGTGAAACATTTAAGGCAGAGTAAACTCTATCAAACTTTAACGGAAAAATATGTACAATACAGAGATTGTAGATTAGTGGGTAGTCTTGTGGATCAGTGGGTAGTCTTGTGTATCAGTGGGTAGTCTTGTGGATCAGTGGGTAGTCTTATGGATCAGTGGGTAGTCTTGTGTATCAGTGGGTAGTCTTGTGTATCAGTGGGTAGTCTTGTGGATCAGTGGGTAGTCTTATGGATCAGTGGGTAGTCTTATGGATCAGTGGGTAGTCTTATGGATCAGTGGGTAGTTTTGTGGATCAGTGGGTAGTCTTATGGATCAGTGGGTAGTCTTATGAATCAGTGGGTAGTTTTGTGGATCAGTGGGTAGTCTTATGGATCAGTGGGTAGTCTTATGGATCAGTGGGTAGTTTTGTGGATCAGTGGGTAGTCTTATGGAACAGTGGGTAGTCTTATGGATCAGTGGGTAGTCTTATGGATCAGTGGGTAGTTTTGTGGATCAGTGGGTAGTCTTATGGATCAGTGGGTAGTCTTATGGATCAGTGGGTAGTCTTGTGAGTCAGTGGGTAGTCTTGTGAGTCAGTGGGTAGTCTTGTGAGTCAGTGGGTAGTCTTGTGGATCAGTGGGTAGTTTTGTCCCAGATGTCTATCCTCTTCGTTCCATGTTTAACTTTTAGTACTGTATGAATGTAATGATACAGAATTATTATATTATCAACGTATTTTTGAAATTGATGACTCAAAATTTAGACATTTTGAAAATTAACCCAAATACCGCAATCGTTTGTATTTTTGATTATTTGTTATTCAATATAACTGCTGATTGAAAGTGCATGAACACCGATGGTAATCCTTGACAAAAATCACAACACGTTCCAAAAATGATTTAAACATTATCGAGATATTGATGTCGCTCCAGTCTGTTGATTTCTGATTTAAGGCTGACAATCATTTGTATATATATATATATATATATATATAGTATGTATTATGTGTTCGAGCGGAATTTTTTGTTTAAGGAAAAAAGCAGAATTTTTTGCACTCGATAAACACGTATCTATAGTGTTATACACGATTTGCTGTAAATTAAAATGTTTCGGTGTAATTATGATACTTTACCACATTTTGAAGATTTATAATTTTCCTCAATCCAAGGAAATTAGTTTTTCACTAGCTCATTGGTAAAGACAATAGTATTTACTGGAGTTATACAATGTATATTGAGAAAGATTCTACAACATTAACAAACTATACCAAATGATGAAAACGACATATATTGGGTTGACCTTGGAACTGGGTTTGGTCTGGGATTTATCTTTGACTTCTGAATGACCCGGTATAAGATTGGACTTCTTCAAGAAATGATAGCGACTGGGGGAAATAAATCAAACATAAGGTAGACAAACTAGGATAATAGATGTCCTTACTGTGTCTTTTGTACAAAAAGTATCTATGATAAATACATTAAATACTATATATTATTCCAATTCTATTTTCATCAGTTCTGCATAAAATATTTGTCTGAATTGAACTGTTTGGTCATTTTTTGATTTCCATTGAGAAATGATATTTTCGTATTTCAGAAGTTAAAAGAAAATAATTTATAGCCAAAGTTATCAAACAAAGAGTATAAAAATGACGAGAAGGATTATGTTGAGTTCAGGTGAGACAAATATTAAATGGACAACTGCTGCTCACACGACTCAGTTCTACCACAACGACGCGCTACTGCCTGTGTCTGCTCACCGTCTGTGTTGGAGAGACACTTTGTATTGGTCGTGGAATGTCTGTGTCTAATCTTAATGGCTTTTTCAGCCGCATCAGGTTTATCTACATCATTATTAGAGTTGATCCATACAATGCTGGTGTACTTCTAATTGAAGACGATCTTTGTTAAAAGTTAGTCTGTGTTCCGTAATATACGACGTCACCCAACGTGAGACGCTGCTTCTACGTCGTCACCCTAAATGAAGTTAAATGCAATGCGGCATCACGGTGGACGAGACTAAACGTATTTCGACGTAACATCAGGCGAGACTCTGTATATGCCGCACTAGGAGAGACTAATATTACAACGTCACGTTATCCTGATCTTAACCATATTGATAACCAAGGGAAACATCAATTATCATATTAATTAATTTTTGATACACCACTAATTAACAGTCAATGACGTCATATGCCGCTTTGTACATTGAATATAACCTTGTGAATGAATTTAAGCACAGCTGGTTGTTCTGTGAACAAAGCCGGTTTCGATTCATAGGCAGCCTACATCGATAGTTGTTATTGCGCGCTTGCATGCTGACATACCTATTTCTGCTTCTGTTTTACACCTAATAATTCATCTCTGCTCAAGCATCTTATATGAGGTCAATGACTGTCATAAATAGATCAAAAATCACAAATGTGCAAATAAACAGGTTCGCATTCTCCACAGGCAGATTTATCAGTTATCATACGACGCCGTCTTTAGAATTTGAGCGCCTATAGCCCGAGTACATAATCACGGACACATGGATCTCTACACTCATCCAGGGGGCGGTCACTGTACTGTTGTCCACTCTTGATGAGCCAGAGAAACTGGGCACCGTCTCGGATGCAGCTTTTGTTAGGGCCACATATTTCAATGACCTCTGACCCGAAACCTTGATCACATTGGCTTTTTGTAATGCCGTGTCCCTTTCCCTGCAATGCAACATAATTCAATGTTTATCTATCTGTACCTTTAAGCAGTGTTACGAACTTTAAGGGAGTTTAAATACTAAAACTTTAAAAACATCTTTTATTAATTGGAAAGTGACTGGAATTATATTTGTAATGATGAAATTCATTAAATATTATCAATAACGTGGAAGTAATCAGAAGGTGAGAATGTTTGTCTAAGTAAGGTACAAAAATATTTAATAAGTATATATAATAGCGTAAGTATATCAGAATGAAAATCGATTCTAATCATCATAGACGATGTTTATGTAATGGTAAATGGGGTTATTTTGTAGGTCAACATACACAGATGTAACACATCTCGTGTCGGTTACACAACTCCCTAGCCTCATCATCAATAGGCAAACCCATCTTATCAGCAATTTCACAGTCAGTATTCAGCAGGTCAACGGCCAGGCATGATTCTGTAACAATACAAAATAACACACGATATACCCATAATGCTCTAACAGTGAAAAACAACACATGATACACCAACATTTCTGTAAGAATTCAAATAACACACATTCCAGAATTGACAAATTGTATGAGAGTGGTCGGGTGGCTTTCATCTAGTCGCCCGCGGTTCGATTACCGGAATGGACTTGAAAAGATAAGGGGTCACTTGGCCGACCACGCGGATTTTCACCGGGTAGTGTGTTAGTTGCAGTGTTAGGTTTGAAAAGGATGTCATATTGTGTTGATAAGTATTTATAGTATTTATGCTCATCAGTAATATATAACTGCCAAGTGATTTAAAACAAGTAGACGTAGTTTCTGTCCTCAGTCTGAGAAATGACAAATTCGAAGTGGAATGGAATCCCCTGGTCACACTGAAGCTATGTTATGGATGATGGTAAAGCCTACATTTGTCATCTACAAATTCATACGTAATTCCCAGCTCACCGCCCATCCCAATAATCAGGAAATTAGACGCTCCTTGGGGTCTGGTAGTCCACACACTCTGATAATCCAAGAATATCTAAAAAAAAATGTATTCGACACTAAAACTTCCGCTGGGCCATGTACCTTTAACCATATATAGAAATTTGTTTGAAAATTTCTAGAAGATCTCTTTTTAACAAATGGTCAAGCCGTAAATCTATATGTTTCTATTGTAGAAGCAGACAGATAGTGTCTGCATTTAACAGAACAAATTGCATGTAATGTCCTCCATAACGCACTCTATTTAGCTGCAAGAGGGATCATTATCGGCTTTCTATATACGTACTGCAATCCATTAACCAGCGATAAAGAGCGAACACCTCAGACAGGTAGACAGTGATAATAATGGTTGCCCTCACACGTACTGCCGCGCTGTCATGGCCATCATATAATGACACCTGTTTCACGTGTTTCATCGATTTTATAACTGACAAGATGGCTACCACAAGTACAATTATTTCAATATTCTAACAGTTCAGATTCGTTATGTATTTACATCGTATAAAGACGATTACATGTCCACAACACTTTGACATTCAAATGCTAAAGCATAAAATCGGTGTTCATTCCAATTTTAAGTTTACTTAAATCATAAAATTTAAGTTAAAAAGAAAAAAAGCTTAACAGTGAAAACAATATTTAACTAAACTTCTTTTCGAAGTTCCTTCAAATTACTTATATATTTTTGTTCAAATATCATATTTATAACCGAAAGTGTTTAAGCTTGTGCATAAAATGTCCATTTGACAATGAGTATGGTTTCATACATGTGGGTTCTGGTCTTAATCTAATTGTAACTTTTGACGGTTCTCCATGAAAATATTTCTGTTGTTTATATTTTGCCTTAGTTTCATCGAATTTGACTTCAAATAAACTTCTGTTGATATGTCGGTATTTTCTTTGTTTTATTATATTTGCATTTTCACGTTCTATTTTTTCAATAGTAAGTATGTAATCTTAAATCAACTCGCAAAGAAAGTTCCCGATATCACGTTATCCTTGTAACCTAAAAGCACCTATATGTAGTAGAATAAATCAGTCTCGTTAATTGGTAACTTAATTCAAATAGAAAACAAGTTTCCTTTCGGGTATTAGCTGGAATAATTCGGTGATTGCTTGTCATCTGATTTGTAAATGCGGAAATGAACCTTCTTTCTACATCCGGGTTATTACAACACGGTGAGATGGACATCTTTATTTCTTATTAAACAGAAACGATGTCAAACGCTCCAGGGATCGTTCTTTTCTGTAAGAGGTCAGTGACTAATTGTTTACTTTATAACGACTGCACTGAAATAACATGAATAAACAACAGAATCAAAAGTCAAACTCATGTTCAAGTAAATGGGGGCAAATCTTAACCAAAAGAAAGATTTACGAGAAGCAATTTGAAGAAATATTATAACAATGGGTTACGGAGGGGTATTAGTCTTCTGCTCAACCGCATCCCGCTAAATCCATTTCGGTCAACCGAGTGAATAGTGTCATGTTCTAATATTAGTAAAATGTAAACACGAATCATAGAAACGATCATTAAAACCGTCTCACAACATAAAGCACAATGAAACATAACCCTTACCAATGACATAAAAGTGATGACCATCAAACTGCCCCACAATCTCCATCAACTATAACCTTGTATAACCATATATAATACGTTTGTCAACTATCGATATGTTCCAGGGAAACCTTGGAAACAAGCTAAAGAATATCAATATTGAATCAACTGCGACATGCAAACCTCATTTGTACCGGAACCAGATTTACTTATGTCTAGAAGTAGTAAATTCACGTAAGGAAATCGAAGTCATCCCGATTAACTTAGAACATGTTGGAAAGCTGTTTGTCTAGTTGTAGAAAGGATCGAGACAAGCGTTTAATTTCCAATTCAAGTGGATATTTACATTGGGCATGATCAATAAATGACAAAACATGCAGGTCTTCGATAAATTCAGTCTTACATGAAAAAAGAAGTAAGCCAAAAGAGGGGCCGAAAGAGGGGCCAAGAGAGGGGCCAGGAGAGTTTTTCTATGGAGGTCTCAAAAAAAAAGAAGAAAAACCAACATGTCCCCATCATTATCATAACTCCAACTCCATAAAATTAGGACAAAATTGTATAAAAAGAATTGATTACGGAGAATTTTGAAAAGTACTCCGAAAATAAGACCATGTGTTCCTGAAGAGTAAGCTTTGTCGAGTTATCAGTTGGTAGATCTTACCACAATCAAGAAAGGTATATTTAAACAGAAATTCTGATACAGTTAAGAGGTAGTGTGTACAATCGACAAATAAATTGTTGAAGTTCAATTTTGGTATAAAAGTTTGTTGATTATTTTAAAATCCGCATTCTGTAAGTTCCACTTTTGAGTACACAGTATTATGGTTTGGCAGTCCTTAGAATGGGAGTAGGAGTCTTGGATAACGTTTTAGTTGAACATATATGAAATATAGATATTAATTCTCATAAAATGTTGGAATCCAATACAAACGAGGAGGGGAAACATGCCTTACCTGCTGCACAATCACACATTTATTATGCAAATCGTTAAATGTGGCCATAACATATGGATCTAGGTATTTTTTGTCTTCATGAGATTTGAAGCTTTTATTTCTTTCACTGATTCATCCAATTTTTAAAAGTGTATTTCATCTGCGATATGATACAAATACGATACAGTCAACGTTATTATATACAGGCTACTCCTAAACAAGTCACACCTGATTTCCATATTGCGTAATTGACGAATTTTATCTTATACACATTAATTCACAGTGTTTATAGTATTTTCTTTGAAGTGCGATGTAATAAAACATTGAATAATTGAAATAACGCCATTTGTTAATATGTTCTTATCAGAAAGATTGAAGATACATATTATGGTACGAATCTTTTCGTTAATTAATCAAATTCTCCGATCGACAAGTATTAACATGACATGTTCTTCAATTTACGAAATTGATTGCATCTGTCATAGGTTTTATTTATGTTATCAGAGATAACGCACATTTTAATGGATATAACACTGTATAATTTACTTGATTTTTTAAACTCATTAGGATTCATAGTAAAATTGCTGAGATGACAGGTTATGTAATTCAAAATTCTTGCTACATTGTGTCTCTATGGTAACCAGTATTGAACAACCAATAAAACTCGTTGACAAGCAAATTGCAAAAAGAGTTAAATCTAAGTCCAACATACGAGCTTTGAATACGTCACATTTTTATATCTCTCACCAGAATGCTAGCTATGACAGGATGCTGATTTTGACCTAAATATGTTAATACGTTATGATCATCACCTAGTTTTAGATATAAACTTTATTTATTTTACAACACTTTGAAAACAAGTTAAAGCAACTTGATAACTCCTGTTGACCTGGTCGTGAAGAGTCTTAGTTAGGAGGAAAGTGGAGTACCAGAGGGAAACCCATAAGATCTGAGAGGTGACCCCTATCTTTTTACGTCCGTTCCAGGAATCGAACCCCGGTCGGCTAGGCGAATGCGTTAATCACTGCTCCACGCAACTACTTATGTACATAACATTACTATACATACATATGATAAAGGTTATATTGTCTTAATGGGAAGACGGCATGTGACAGGACTATTAACATCTCCGTAAAAATGCATAACAAATGTCTACCTTTAGTTTAGATATGGCTTTGTAAATGACCAGAAAAATTTGACGTTATATCTTGTATTTTGCTTGCTAGTTGAGGACGACAATTATGGACAACTCCTTGTGACGAACGTATTTTATTCAGTGGGTTGAAGGGAACAAATTTCTATTGGTCCATGGGATTAAGACGTGCTGTATTGACCAACCTTCTGTCACACCCATTGGCGTCTCTTGATTGGGGTCTCCTTGTGATGCGAGGTACTCGGAAAGTGCCAGTCTCACAGCCTCGTCATTAGCCGTGTCACCATTTGTCCTTTGTAATTCAGGAACATCATCTGAAATAGTCGTGTCTGGTTGGAATTTAAAATGAATATAACGGTGGTTGACAAGTGATTCTTTACTGCGATTAAATTAGATGTGGTTTTGCTATCTATATTGTACTGTAATTTTGCATGATGTTTGGTAAAATACAACCATTCGTTAAAACTCACCGATTTCATTTTCATTTGCGTCTCCACTTTGTAGATACTGTTTAACGAATCTTTCTAGGACAACTTGAGCATCTAAAACAGAATTTAACTTTTCAAAGATAACAATAAACATACACAAACTTTCAGTCAAAATGACCAAGAAATACGAAATACATGTTTGTAGACGTTTTCTAGAAACCTTCTGACCCAATAACGTTCTTCCTCTCACCTTCTTCGAGCAGGTATTCTGTAACGTCGATCAAACATGACCTTTTTCAGGAGTAACATACTTAGTCTATTATCCAGTGTCATGGGTCACATTGTATAAAAACTAATACATTGATAGAAGTACATTTCTGATAGTAGTTTCCAAATGATCAGCATCACGAAGCTTTACAAGTCACGAAATTAGGGTAAATATTGAATAAATATCACAAAAGAATCATGCACAAACCTTTATTATCAATTTCCTCATCGTCATCTGGTAGCGGATTTTCGTACCATCTTCCCATTCCGTCCTCATAGGTTGGTTTCTCGTCGTCGTTTACATCGCCTCTTTTATCAATGATATCGTCACTGTCATCGTCCTCCTCTTCATCGTCCTCCTCCTCTACATTCAGCCCGTTGTCTCGAGCTAGATGCGCCAAGGACGCCATTTGTAGTGCCATAGATGGGTTTGATTTCAGCTCCTGTAGAATTTCTTCATCTCTGGAAGACGACATTAAATTACAAAGACTAGTTTCACATAAACAACATACAGTATGATGATTCCCGAAGTACTGGTCAAACATGAAAGTTTATAACTGTACAATCAAGTCGGGTAGTAATTGATGTAGTTCTTGGTGCCGCGATAGACTGAGTAACAGTCTCGTTCGTACTAGTTCAGTTCCTTTCATTATTTCCATTTAAATCACCTTCATATTTTGCTTGGGACATAGCATAGGGTTTCAACACATGTAGGCTGAGGGAAATTATAGGGAAATTTTACGGTTGTCATAGTGATTCTATTGGTAAATATCATATTTCTTTGTGTGATGACCTGTTTGGTGTTCGTTAGTTTACCTGTTGGTTCCGTTGTTGTATACCTTTTTGTCATATGAGAATGTGACATTACTTACTTGGATTGACAAAGTTTTCATTGCGGCAATTGTCGATGAAGCAGAAGACACGTACAATTCCGGGACGCCTGGATTGATTCTCCTTGTACTTCTCAGGAGTCTCCGTGTAAATTTTTCTTTTGTTTATATTTTGCCAAAGTGTTTCAGAATTTGAGTAGGGATTGTGATTATGTTGGTATTTGTTTGTTTATAGTCCAATACAAACCTAAAATAACAGGTCATATATGCAACGTTTGCATATGCCCAATACAAACTTTTCTTATGCGACCGAGGACTGTAAATAAACTTGATACCTGTAAAAGGCATAGACTAAAAAGGAACTGCAAATGAAGAGCGCCCATACGGACTAACAGGTATCGCACCTAAATTAGAACCGACCACAAATACATATAAATTATACAAACGCATTTTTTCATATGTTATAGGAAAATAGACATTCCTGACGATATTATGTTGGCGACCAGAAATGCGACCTAAAGCAACATGTGCACCGCCTGTATTTCTAGTAAATCATACACGTGTTCATGCTGGCAGGCATTTGGAATGGTCCAAGGTGGAATGGCATTCAGATAAGTAGCTGCACGTTTTAATATCTTCCATTTTGTTATTTTTTGGTCAATACACCATCTGAACCAAACCGGGAGTTTGATGATCATCTCAGGTGTGGTAGAACAGGTAAGACTACAGATAGACAAGATAGACGTCTATGCTGACAGACGTCTGTGCTGAGAGGCAACGAGAGCGAGCCTCGTTCACTACTGCCAACAAGCTCGAAAGACAGTTCTCGCCGACAAGTAGAAAGTCCTCTGTTGGTTTGAAGGCACAAACAAGCAAGTTTGCAACGCACAGGGAATATTCGGTCTTTACGGAAAGCTCAGTGGCCTGATGAAAGCCGTTTTACTTCATCAGACAGACTGCTGGGTCCGCGTTTGGAGACCAATAAATATGGCATACCATCGGAATAACATTCTGGGCACAATGAATTTGGTGGTGGCGGTGTTACTCTCTAAACTAAATGTTTTTTTTCTCTAAACTGAACGCTTCACTTGCATGACGATATTGGAACTTGATGGCAGAAGTACTATGACCAGATCCTTCGACCTTTTTTATGCGACATTTCAATGTCAATCCATTAATAGATCGACCCATCCTAATGGATGACAAAGTCATTCCACGCAGGGGCCGCCAAGATTATATTTAACAAGTGCCATGTCACCAGACATGAACCCAGTTGAGCATGTGGGACTCTCTGTGACAAAAAGTCAACGTATGGAATCCAAAAGGCAAAATAATTGGAGAAATACGGGCTGTATTGATTCATGAGTGGCAGAGGTTACAGCAGAACAAATTTCGACGTCTCGCCAATGGTAATAGACGAAGAGTACAAGAGTTGTACAGAAGTGTGGTGGTTAAACCCGATATTGATATTTTCAAACCGAATTCATTGATTGGTCAATCTTCTTAATCAAGTAACATGTTTTTGTGATCTGATGTCTCTCTTTTAATAGACGGTAGTTTAAGTCAAACTTTTTTCCAAACTTTAGAAATGCCTTTTGAGCAGATCTTTTAAAAATGATGCAGCGCTTCCGGTTCTGTAAATTTCTTTTCCTTTCGACTGTGTAAAGTTTCTAAAGATGACTAAAGTATGCTATATATCCTACTGAATGTTTGTTTAAATATAACGAACAAAATTGAGCATGGTCCAAGATATGGGTGGTTCCTAACTTATGGTCTAGTGTATATTTCAAATGTTTTTCGTAACCATTGGATGTAAATTGTAACTAAAAGATGACTCCCATCAAACAAATATATGTTGACAAAATCTAATGGCATGTATTTCGGGAGTTTAAATCTAACAGAAATGAACATACACATTTATCGTGTTGTTTTTACGTTTGATCCCTTCAAGCAATTCAGATATCACTATACATAGATACATAGATATAAGATAAGAAGTGCTTACCTGATGGCCTTCTCAATGTCCTTGTACTCAGGTCGAAGATAAGAATCTGCTCCTTCCATTTGAGACATGGTTGCTTCTTTAAGGGCGGAGGCAAGGTTATCGATTTCCTCATCCTCAATGCCTTCCATCAAATGAAGAAGAGCTATCTCATTATGTAAATCCTCCTCCTCCGATCTCAAAGTCTCCCCATTATCTCGCTTTGCAACTTTTTTCTTCTTTTCACTAGGGAATGAGTTCATCTGTGGTACCATTTCCTGTCCTGTTGAATTGCTGTCCTCCTCCTCGCTATCTTTGTTATCAGATGGTGTATCGTCTTTTGCTTCTGATGATTCATCACCCCCAAATATATCTTTCAGTTCCTCTTTAGTAACAACTTCCGGCTTTGAAGAACCCTCTGCCTGATCTGTGTCGCCTGTCTCTTCTATGATTGAAGATGTTTCCGGTTTTTCTATTTCCTGTGTGTCTTGCGTTTCTTCATCTTTTACTTGGCTTAAGAGATTTTCCATTTGTGATTTCGTAATTTTCCTATTTGAGGATTGACTTTCACCTTTCACTTTGATAGCCTCGTCTAGAACTGAATTATGCTCATTGTCTGACGTCCCGAATAAGCTTTTTAATTCGTCAAGCGATGGAGCTCTGTTTGGCATTTCTTGTTCCCCATCCTCTTCCAGTTCATCAAGGTACTGTTGATAAGCTGGTAGTATATCTTCTAGACTGTACCGCCCATCTAATCCCCCATACTCCTCGTAAGGGTCATATGTTTCTTGCATATCATCGAGATTGTTCCGAAGGTATTCGCTCATATCTACTCGTCGCCTCTGACGCTGCAACATTTTGAAAGCCTTGTTAAGGTCTGATGGGCTTGGTGAGGACCGCTTTCGTATCGTAAAGCTCAGTGCGCATGACAAAAACATAACGACGACGGCAGCTTTAGGCAAAAAGTACTTCCGGTCCATGGCTCACTGATATCTGTGGAGAAGCAAGAAACATAATGACAGCTACATGTATAATGACGAGATTTCAAGAAAACTATTAAACTCACTTCTAGCTAAATAAATTTACACTTTTGTACACTTAGAATAGGACTTTAAATCATCTTCTTATACAAAGAAGTGTTGAACTGTTAATTTATTCTTAAATGTTTGAAGCAACAGCAGTCTATCTTATAATAGTTCAATGGGATGGATGAAATAGATTTCTTATCGACAGATATTTTATTTGTTATAAGATAAAGAACAATATCAACATATAGCCCATCACACAAACGTGAATATGAGGTTCAGTTTTAGAGTTCGGGCATATGAGTAATATACTTGTAACGTTTATCATTCGTTACATTTATAACTAAGCTTCTGATTGTTAGATTCAGTAAAGACAACAAGTGTTGATAGTGATGGTATTCTCTAGCAGCATTTTCACTGATTAAAGTTGTATGATTCTAGTTTAATTTACAGCACCATGTATTTATATTTAGACGGTTAGATTGTCTCAGTTGTTCCGAATACCTGGATATCACAACCGGCTCAAAACGTTTGAAAAATTAGCGCTATCGTTAATTTTCTAAGTCGCAAACTTCTCATTATCTGCTAGTTAATGATTGCGCAAAATATTAGAGGCTGGTTATCCACAGTTTAACGAGGTCGTTAACGATAGTTTTAAGCAAGCGGTTTCTGGTGTTTTACGTCACTGCCAAGTCATGTCCATCCTGTAGTCTATGATTGATACAATGTTACACGTCATCACCAGTGGAGCATTAAAATATGTCGTGGAAAGTAGTACATATAGTGTCATCAGCTTACTGAACAATGATAGAACAATACTGACAAACAAGATACTAACTGTCAGGAATTATAGATTAAAGGAGTGTTACATAGTTATCACGATGCATAGATAATGAGGGAGATGTAAAGTCAAACAGCGTTATTACTAATTACAGGCTATTCTATCATCTAGGCTTTGTCCCACATTGTATGACGTCAGAGTGGGGGTGCGGCTGCAGATAGGGGATGGTTAAAATGTCATCGGGTAAATACAACTACATACATATGTGAGTGTTGTTTTCACCTTCATTACATTACCTGGTCAATTTTAAAATTAGGCTACGTTTTAGCTAATCTCTACAGTCATTCACCACAATAACGTTAATCCCCACTTAACGGAATAGTGCTAAGAACAATAACCGAATTTTTGTAAAACTTTGTACCCGTAATCTAGATTACATACATTACAGGACATCATTCAACAACACAAATTGTAGACGACCTTGATACAAGGAAGTTAAAACAATGTGCTCCCTGTATAGATTGTATCAGTCGGTAGGCTGGTCAATACAGCAGTTGGAGTTTCCTGTTCAATGAGACTGTCAATATGCCATTCAATTTTCTCTTAAATAGCAATTTTAAATGGTGTTGGACCAGTATTACTAATTTGTGTCGGTCGAAACCTAACGCCGGTGAAATTATACCAGTTGCAGTCAAACAGGCTTGCAATCTAAACCTGAAAATCATATCCTTTTGTTTTTGTTTTCTTCAATACGAATGTTAATAACGTAAATAGACGGGAAAATGACAAAAAAAAAAAACAAAAACAAAAACAAAAACAAAAAAACAAAACAAAACAAAAAACAAAAACAAAGCAAAATGTTTTTAAAAATCGACACAAAACCGAGTCAATCTACAATTACAGCATTATCACGCTACCTATCAAGTGATCAGACGTGAAACCCTCTAGAAAGATCCCGTTTTCTTAATTCAGGGCAGTTATTCAGGTATATCTTGGATCAGTCAAAACCTTAGAAAATGGAAAGGAAAAAATAAAAACTCGAAAACAAAATGGCAACAACTTTCCCATGATAAAATTGATTGAATTAATTCAAACACAACTTCAATGAAATTATGGCAAAATATGAACATAGGAAATATTAACTCGGGGACATTTCTCAAAAACCCGTTTTGTGAGTTTGTCAGTTGCAGACATCATGTATGAAAATCGTGAAATTGGGATCCCGATCTTGAATCAGCTGTGACTTGGAAACACCATAGGTTTAAAATATTGTTACACTAAACTGGATATGTAAAAATGCTAAAGTTAATGTCCAAATAGCGTTGCTTCAATAAATATAATGTTTAAATCAATCTGAATTCACCATTGTAAATCCAGAAGATTGCCGTGAGTGTAACGTTTAGAAATATCTTTTAACTTATATTTATTCAATTTCAGTTTAGTTCAGTTTTAATTCAACAAATAATAATTTGTCACTGTGCAGCAGTTTGGCGGTCTATGTATAAAAGGCATGTCGACAAATACTGTTTTACCAAGTAGACTCCCGGAGACTACTAACAACCAATATCATCATGACGATATTATTTTTTTTTTATTTCTATCACGTGGTCAATCAACGACAAATGACGTGGTTGATAATGTCAGCTGTTATAAACATATCTCTATTTGAAACCCTGATAGTGTCATCTGTTCTATTTCGAAAGTTCCAGGTCATCAACAACACCACATCACAGACAAATATCCACGTCGTGTTTATCTCAGTTTATGGAATTTGATGGTGATTAAATTCCCACATGTAGTTTTTTCTTAGTGTTTTCTGTGATTAAGTATTGGTTGTATCACGAGACGAGAAAAAACAATTTTGTACGTACTGAGCACTCTGACAAGGCGACATCTCCTGTATCAATGTCCGGAGAGCGATTTCGATTTCTACAGAAAACCAAATCTTTCGATAAAATATTGTGAGTTAAATGGAAGAGAAAGAACAAATACCATTAATGAGCCTCTCTGAAAAACCGATTCAGTTTCGATGGCTTATTTCTGAAAGATGATCTCCCCGTGGTATGACATGTTGTAAATAAAACCATTTCTATCTACGATTTACAGACGTGTTGAGGAAGAACTAAAAACCGACTCGTTACGATCCTTCCTCCTGTAGGCTTTCTCATGTTACCTGTTCGTGAGGATTAAATGGTAGGAACCTGACTCACGTATGTAAATACCCGATCAAATCACATTCGTTATCAAACATCAAAATAAAAATTAATCATATTCATGTTGTTTTAACGTATAATTGTTTCTGCAATAAGTGTCTCGTTTTGCTTTGATTTTTATTATGTTATTATTGACATTAGTTAAGAAGTTGCACAAACGACATTTGAATAGAACCTTTTGATAAAAATTTGGATTTCAGTTGAGCGAAACAATTTTTGAAACCTCGAAAAGGGCTTAGGAAAATCTTAAGTGATCGAAAGACATGTTAGAATCTTGATACGCCGACAGAATCTCAAGTTCAATCGATGAAACTGGGCAAATTATGAACAAAGAATTATTTCCATGGAGACTCCTGAAAGAATTGCAAGGAGAAAACATGTTCTGGGAGAGTAAGCGTCCTCTGCTTCATCGACGACTCTGCCAGGTAAACCTTGGTCATTTCAAGTAAGTGATGCCATGTTCTCAAAATGACACTTACCGTGTAAACAACAACGGGATCACCTGGCAAACTAACGGACATCACACACATCTCACTTCATACAACACAGCGATGTACGAGGCTTTAAAAGCACATTATAACCATAACCATCATCAACCAGCATCTCTCAAAACCTTGTGTGAGTTTCTCTGTCACTTTGCATCAAAGTCATGATATCTAGAAAAAACTCTTATCTAATCAACAGTGTAAACAGCATGTACCGTGTAAACAACATATACCGTGTAAACAACATATACCGTGTAAACAGCATGTACCGTGTAAACAGCATGTACCGCGTAAACAACATATACAGTGTAAACAGCATATACCGTGTAAACAGCATGTACCGCGTAAACAACATATACCGTGTAAACAGCATGTACCGTGTAAACAACATATACCGTGTAAACAGCGTATATTGTGTAAACAACATATACCGTGTAAACAGCATGTACCGCGTAAACAGCGTATACCGTGTTAACACTGTTTACCGTGTAAACAACATATACCGCGTAAACAGCACGTACCGTGTAAACAGCGTATATTGTGTAAACCACATATACCGTGTAAACAGCGTATATTGTGTAAACCACATATACCGTGTAAACAGCATATATCGTTTTAACAGCTTATACCGTGTAAACAGCATGTACCGTATAAACAACATATACCGTGTAAACAGCTTATACCGTGTTAACAGCATATACCGTTTTAACAGCTTATACCGTGTAAACAGCATGTACCGCGTAAACAGCGTATACCGTGTTAACAGCGTTTACCGTGTAAACAACATATACCGCGTGAACAGCGTATACCGTGTATACAGCGTTTACCGTGTAAACAACGTATACCGTGTAAACAGCTTTTACCGTGTAAACAACATATACCGTGTAAACAGCGTATACAGTGTAAACAACATATACCGTGTAAACAACATATACCGTGTAAACAGCATGTACCACGTAAACAGCGTATATCGTGTAAACAACATATACCGTGTAAACAGCATGTACCACGTAAACAGCGTATATCGTGTAAACAACGTATACCGTGTAAACAACGTATACCATGTAAACAGCTTATACCGTGTTAACAGCGTATATTATGTAAGGAAGGATGTATCTATCCTCCGTTTTTCGATTTATTCGCCGTTTTTCGAGGTACGTTGATATGGGGAAGACATTGTCCCTCTAGGATAGCATAGATTTAGATCGAGATTAAAACGATTCGGCAGAAAATCATGATGACTGATGCCACCTTAGGAGAAGTGAATACTTCTCGTACATGTTTGATGATGAAGTCTTTGTGGTAAGGGACGTCCACATTAATAGTGTTGTCGGTAATGATGAAAAACACTGCTAGGGGAAGTGAGTTGTCGTCTGATGCATGCAACATAGAATAACTCTCTTAACATAAATGTCCAACAAACACGCAAACTACAGACTAATAGGTCGCGTGTATTACCGCGCCTAAATATCAGTT